TGGATGGCGTCGAGGGGTATTTCGGTTTCATCATAGGTAACCAAACGGCAACCCCCGATCTCGGGGAAAATGCCGTCTAAACGTGTGTTGTTGTTGTTATATGTATATATATATATATGTATATATATACATATATATATATATATATATATATATATATATATATATATATATATATTAGATAAACTAAATGATATATTAGTCAGTCACAAAACACTTTTCCAATCACAGGAGTAGTTAAATGAAACCTCATATCAGAAAGCATCCAAACATTTTTTACCATCATTAATCATTTATTAGATACATGTAATTTTTATAAACAAACCAAATAATTAGTTGAACATAACCTGAAAATGTATTTTAAATCACTAAATTTGCATAGATACGTGTACACATACACACACACACACACACACACATATATATATATATATATTATTTAGAAATATTTATATAGCGCAAATTAAATACTTCAAAGGTGCCATCAAACGTGAAACAAACAAAATAACGTGTGCGTGATCAACATAAATTAAAATATTCAAATTTAATGTTTTTAATTCTTTTTTAAATGTCACAAAATTAATTCCGGGTCTTCTTTATGAAATCGGTAGGCCATTCCAAACCGTCGGACCCGCAACCGCAATATCTCTTGCACTTTTTCTTAGATGCCTAGCTGGAACCGCCAAAAGATTCATATTATCTGATCTCAGATGAAAACATGATGCAGATGCCTTCGTGGAAAATTTATCTGAAATGTAAGCCGGTGACATTCCATTCATGGATTTGAACAGTCACTGCAATTTTAAAAATTATTCTTTTCTCAATCTTTAACCAGTGAAGTTCATTCAATATTGGCGTTACATTATCAAATTTCAATTTTCCAGTTACACGTTTTGCAGCCCTCTATTTTGAACCGACTGAAGAATGGCAATTGATCTATCAGGCAAGTTAAAAAAACAGATTGTTGCAGTAGTCCAGCCGTGATGATACAAACGCATAGACCAGATTTTCCAATGCTGATCTGTCTAGCAAATGTCTAACTCGGTATAAATTTCTTAGATGAGTAATGCTGGAAACTGAAATCATCTTGATGTGGTCTTTTATGGACAGTCTATCATCCAGCAACACCCCCAAATTAGAAGCTGTTTTACTGAAAGATATATTTACATCTCCTACTTTGATTGAAGTGATATTCATCCTTGATAACTGATGCCATGTCCCAACCGGGAGGAACTGAGTCTTACATTGGTTTAACTTTAACGAATTATCTGACATCCAACGGCCAACATCTGACATACATCTGCTGAATCTGTTCACCTCGTCTGCAAATGAATCTGGAAAACTGGTGATCATATATATATATATATATATATATATATATATATATATATATATATATATATATATATATATATATATATATATATGTATATATATATATATATATACATATATATATAAAGATCACTGCGTTTTCGGCATTACTCAACTTGTAGTTGTCTGTCTATATATATATATATATATATATATATATATATATATATATATATGATATACATGTGTGTCAATATCTTTATATCTTTTGTTGTTGAAATTTTCGAAAACTCTTCTTAGGTACAACCTCGGCAAAGGATTGATGGCGTTGAAAAGTATGGAAAGAATAAAAATGAACAGCTGGTACCGCGTGAGTGTCTCGAAGTTGCAGACAGTCCTCATGATGAAGATCAACAACCAACTGCCTTACAACAAGAGGGAGCCATCCACCTTGCAACTCATCAACTCCATCAAAACTATCTATTTAGGATTTCCGCCATATTTATCTTCGAGGTTATAATTTTTTATTCTGAATTGCATGTTACGCTATTTTGGTTATTTGAAATACTTTGAAATAAAAAAACTTTTGTATAAATTTGTGATTAACTTTTTATTAAACTCACTGCAGTTCCATCTTTTGATTCGTTTCTTATTTATAAAAAAATGATATTGCGAAATGCGGCGTACAGACATACGCCACTCAAACACATTATAGTTGATGAATATGAATGACAAAACTTGTTAGGAGAAAGAGAATAGGGCTCGGGTCGGGAAGCATCCAAGGTTGCATAAAGTCTTTCAGCATGAACAGCAGTCGGTTGTTCGTTGATTATAAACTGCACGATGAACGAGGAGCCACTGACATCAAGGAGAGGCATCTCATTGGTTGGTCCACACGCTTTCTTCTTTAAAATTATTATTTTTCAACGTTAATTTTAATTAAGAGACTCGTGTATATTTTATTAAAATTTTGAGGTGATTGCTTTTTTTGCTTTTGAAATTAACACAATGTTTTCTTTAAACTTGCAAGATGTATGCAAGCAGTCAGCATGCTCCAAGTTTCCATGCGAGCATGCTGGCCAGTGCAACGACATTAATGATGGGTTGAGTTTCAGATGCGTTTGCAAAGCTGGATACTCAGGTTAATTGGATAACCATTTTTTATTTTAATATTTCAGATTTGTATTTTATCAATCTTAATATTATTATTGTCATTATTATTTCTAAATATGTAAATTACTACATTTAATATTATAATTACTACTAATAATACTACTACCTATAATAATAATTATAGTTTTAAATGTAATTATTTTTATTATTATTATTATTATTGCTATTATAACGTTGTCATTATTATTATTTTTGTTGTTGTTGTTGTGGTTGTTGTTATGTTTAGTGTTTAGAGCTTTTAGAGTCGGTTGATGATGAATCCAAGGTTCCACCAAATCGCAAAGAGATTCATCCAAGTACTTTTCTTAGAGTGCCTGCTATACACAGCAACGAAATTTTTTAAACCTCAGTCAGAGCTTAAATTCCAAGCAATTCATTCATCAAGTTTTCCAGATTTTTATTTACCGCTTCCAAGGTTCCTAACACCACGGAATGATATAATCTTAGGGTGCCACATTTTTTGAATTTCTATTTCAAGATCTTTATTTTTACAAACTTTTTCAAACGCTTTGCATAGCATTCAGGTCATCAGGTCCATCATTAGACACATTTTTCCTGTCTTATCATGAATTATTATATCCGGTCTGTTCGCTGGCATGTTTTGGTCGGTGATTATTGAAGTGTTCCAGAAGATTTATCCATCGATATAATTTGAAACTTTCTGGAGTTCATGTCTATAATACTCTGTAATCACTTCGAGGCCAACATGTTTGCTTATTATCCAGTGAACGCAAACGGCAATTTTGTTGTGCTTTTTTAAATATTCAGTTGAAAACATCACACTGCACCCAGAAATCACATGAGTGACGCTTTCGATCTGGTTATGATACATTCTGCATAGACCATCTAAGTTTTGTTTTAATAATTTTTTCTGAAAATTATTTGTGTTTAAGGCTTGTTGATAGTATTTTATTTTTGACCTTTTTTCCGGGGTTGTTTTCTAAAAACTCAGTATAAATTTTTATCCTAATATCTCTATCGAGAGAGTGATGATTTTTTATCTTTATATTTCTTTGAAATTAAGTTTTTTTCATTTTCGTCAACTTTTGTGGCAATTTCAAACATTTTGTTTCGTTTTGTTTGTATGTACGTGCGGAGGTCTATCATTTTCAATTCGTATGAGGCCTCTCTATCCATCATTTCCAATAAAATGCAGAAGTCAGCATCATCATTAGGCTGATGTGCTCTTCCTTTAGCAAGTAGTTTTCTTGTTTTTCTGTCAATTGTTTGCAGTCCTGATATCCGCGATCCAAGAGTTCTATAGCTCTACCTGATAGCTCTGATGACTGGGATTGCTAGACTATTCATTAATACAATAATAATAATAATGTGAACACAGGTGTTATTCAATAAAAAGAGCCATCAATATAATAAAATAAAATGATAAAATAAAATCAGGTAAATAAAAGAAAATAGAATAAAAAAATGGAGATAATCTGCAATGCTCGTCATTTATAAAATTTTAAAATGAATGAGTACAAGGAGAAATAAAATAAGTTTCAACTGCAGTCACGGTCACAATAAATAGCATATGACGATGATATTGACGTGTTTATTAAATTATTGTAAAATTGATCGGACCAATTTACGTTGACAAGTAATAAGTGAAAATGTTTAAAGAAACCTAACGGAGAAATTTAAAAAGTTTTAATTATTGTTTTTAAGTGTTTTTAGTGTCAATCAAGTTGTTATTGAGTTTTTGAGAATATTTAGATATTTTATAGTCCCTGGATTTTGAGGTTTGACTCGTGGCAGACCGTCAGTTCCAGTACTTCGATCGTGTCTCAATGGAAAAGAGTAACATCAGGACAAAATGATTTGAACAGAAATGATACTGGGAGAAATTTCTTGCTGTTCGTTTTAGCAAAAATTGTCACCTCTGGCTTTGCAGACGATCTGATTTCTTCCAAAGTCAAAGATAATATTTTATTGGACGATTTGTGAATCTTTTTAGAGACGCTGCTAAACTACAAATTGACAAAACACGCTTGTTTGTTTGGAGTGTATTACAAAGCGGACACAGCGCCTTAGACGACTTACCCCATCTGGATAGGTTTGCATTTGTAGGAAGTTGTTTAATAAAGCTTTCATTAGAAATTTGAATAAAACCTCTTGGAGTTTGGCAGTGAATTTTAACCAACGGGCAACTTGACTTGCGAGAATGTGTTCTTCAAGGTAGCCTTGACAGATGGCTGAAATAGGATTCCTGTTGGCTAGTCTTTAACGCTTGGAATGTTTCACATCTTTGAATGAGGAAGCATTTTGTCAATCTTAATGTGGCGTTGTAGGATTCACTCCAAAAGCAGTTGATGTTTTCGTCATGGTGAGTTTTAAGATAATTGCGAAGTTTAATTCTAAGTGACAGCAAAATTTGTAGTGATCTGATTTGCAGCCCTCTCGATTTTTAAAAGAGTGATTAACATTCGGATACACAGCTGCTGACTGGCTATGACAGCTATTTCTTATTGCCTCCGTGACCAAGGTGTCCAGTCTTTCTGTAATCTATGTCTACGGAATATCATACGTGCGAAGCTCAAAGGCTAATTGTGCTGGAACGAACCTTCGTAATATTTGTAGCTTCCATTGGGGCGCTGTGTTCAACTCGTTTATGACTGATAGCAAATTTTAAGCTTTTTAATCATCAATTCTTTTGCTTTTGAGTTGCCACCGTCAAAATCATAAATCCTGTCAAGGTATACAAAATGATCGTTCATTTCAACATGAGGGATGAGTTTGTCTTCAACAGTCAGCGTCGGGTGAAACTGTTCATAGCCGCTTTTCATATTTTAATCTTTATTCTAATTTATCTTCATATTCGTGCCAGTAGCTTTACACTAAGCTTGGTTCAATTGAATTAATTTTTGAGCACCGTCCGTGTTGTTTGCGATGATGGCTGTATCATCCGCGAATAGAAGCCAAGAGGTGGATTTCAAATTGGTCGTCGTTCCCCAAATGTATCCGCATTGTTGATGTTCTGACCTCTCAATTAATTTTCACAACGGATTAAAGCACAGACTGAAAATGAATGGCGAGACTGGATCGCCCTGAAGGACACTTCGTCTGATATCGAAGGAGTAGCGTAGCCGCTTCCTGAAACTTGTGTAGTCCGAATATATGAATTTAATTAAATTACTTATTTGCGATAGAATAATAATAATAGTAAGGATAATGAAAATAATATTGGTTCCGTATGCCAAAAAAAATAACATTCATACTAGCTCTAAAATGTATTAATGGAATAATGGAACAAATAAAAATTATTTTCTCAAATACAAATATAATTTGCTCAAAAATTTAGAAGATTTTTACGTTTTCCAAACGTCATAGCTCCAAATCTATCAATCAATGAAATGCCATTTCCGCGAGGTTCAACGGCCCTTTTCAATAAATTTTACAAACAAACAAATGGATCTTGAGATCGGCTCTGAACTTCGTAAGTAGTGGCGAAGTAATAAAAAGAAAAGCTAGAGAGTTCCAGAAAAAATTTAACAGGAGTTAAGAAGAAGTGAGAACAACAAGACGATCGTAAACCCGGGGCATTTATGTTTAATTAACCCTCAATTGGTACTTGCAAAAACATTCGTTCTTGGTATTTTGGGTGAATTTGCACCCTTATTTAATTTTTCAATATAAATCAGTATTAACAAATTTTTTTTCTAAATTATAGTTAGAATACTTTTTCAACTAAAAACCATGTGTTAAGCATTTGATATGCTATGAAATAACGCAATAAAACTGGTTACGGTGGTACGTAGAGACATTCGCATACTCGATGTAAGTATGATTTCAGTTCTAGTATCAATATAATGAAATGTCGAAACAAATCGCATGCAAATGTTTTTCAATGTTTCTTCAAATTATATATTTAAATAGGACAAACATAGAATATGCTAATATGCGGGCCTAGAGCACATGTCACAGAAGTTTCATATTTTCCTGTCACGCTCGCGCGAGCACAGTTGACAACGTTTCTTTGTCATTTTCACTTTGCCTGGTTTTTCACTTCTTATTTTTGCAATATCCAGTTTTAGAAATATATAAAGTTCTATAAATGTATGATAGGTTTTCTAAAGCGAATAGAATTGTCCAAACGTTTGCTAATTAGCGACTCGTCAAAACATTCTCCCAGATTGACGATTACGGGGCTTTGCCGAGCCAAAAAAACTAATAATAATAACAAATTGGCAAAATGTACAGCTCCAGCTGACTTGTTCTAATCGGAGTTGTTGCACATCCAAATCATGAAACAGCAATGACAGCTTGTCGAGCATGTTAAAAAACAAGATCATCGGCCGTCTGATGATTTCCCTTCACAATGATTGAAGCCAAATGATCTGTTATTGACGCCACTTTTAGTAGAGTTATAAAAAAGGATCACCTCCGGTTTTTCAACAGATTTGTCATGATGCATTGTGGACTACAGTACTAGACTTTTTTGGGTACATATAACATCAAAGTTTTGTTACAAAGTGATATTTTTTTGTTACAAGTCCAAGTATTTTAGGCATTGCTTGCTTCGCATCACGTATATTTGTTTATTAATATTTATTCAATAATTTATTTAATAAAAAGTCTAATCGTATTAGCAATGTTAGAGTTAATTGTATAGTATATCAACATTTTAAGTAACGTTTGTCTGGGGTGCAAAATGCACCTCCCCCAAAAAAATATTCCGATCAAAATTAATTTTAAGTTTTTTTTTACAATTTTATGCGTGAAAATATGACAAAATGTTATCTTAACAATGTCCTACAGTATGACTGCTGTAGTTTTGTTAATAACAAAGTAGTAGCCATAGACGGTTCCAGTTTGAGTTGAGGGTTATATGTCTGACGATTTATATATAAATCGCAAAATAACCATAAATAACAACAATTTTTTAATTTTTTTGTTTTGTATAGTGCTTTTATAGCTTAATAACTTTTATAGCTTTGTCAAAAAGCAAAAAAAGTGTTTTTCTTCTTTAAAAAATAAAATTAATTTTAAAATAGGCAAAAAATATTTCAAAAGTCAATTTTTGTATAGTTTTTCATTTTCAAATTTGTCAAAACGTCGGCTATTAAATCAATTTTCAAAAATGATTTTTGGAAATTTGATTTATAATTTGGATTAAAATAGAAGTTGTTAAAAAAAAGTTAGAAAATTTGAAAAATAAATGTAACAATTTGATAATATCGATTTAATTTAACCAAATTTGTATAAACAAAAATTTCCTGCCTAAATTTACTGATATGCATATATTGGGTAGAATGCAAAGTTATGTCAGTTTTGTTATTGAACCTTTTTTTTATAAATAATTTAATTGTATTAATAATATAATGATTTTATATAAATAAATAATAATTTAAGGCGTTGTTGTTTTTAGCATGGTTAGTGTCCTGTTATTTGTACTATCACCATCAATACCATTGTTGTGGCCATATTGTTATCACTGTCGTTTCCTAACTATCTTACTTGTGTCACAAATTGGCTATGTGGAACGATGTATTTCAAACTGTAGAGCGATGAATTTTGTTGAGTAAAAATTTTTATACTCATAATTTTCCAGGGACAAACTGCCAAACGGAAACCGTCTACACAGCCTCTCCATGCGATTCCGATCCGTGTCTCAATGGTAGCACGTGTGAAGATGTCGATGGAGAAATATTTCGCTGTTCATGCAAGCCTGGATATTCAGGTGCCAGGTGCCAGATAACTGGATTCATCTACGTGCATTGATGAGCTACTTCATGACTCATGTGCATTACGTTAAATGTCCATTGCCACAATAAAACGACTCTATTAAAGATAGTAATAACTGTTGTCGTAAAATCAATGAAAAGCAGACGTAGATTGGAGAAAATGTAAATACTATCCGTTCTCTGTTTTTGTTTTATCCTATTCAATTAAATAACTGCCTTGTTATAAAACATTTATCAATATGATCTGCCGCCTTCCTTTCAATGGTTCTTATGGTTTCAATAACACTTTGCATTGGAAGCAATTGAGCAATGATGTTTGAGAGGAAAAATACTGTGCATTTCTATAAATTATCGAAAAAATATCGTGCAGTTTATTGAAGCTCTGTGTTGTTGCATTTAAAATATGTCAACCTTTTCAAACAACTTTATCAAATAACGTTAAATGATATTTAGTTTTAAATGCGCTGTTTTATACAAAGACAAGTACGTTAGCATTGCATAAATCTAGAACAGAATTAAATTTGAGCTGGTGAATCTTTTTTAATTAAATTATCATTAACATTTTCTTAATTTACAGTGTTTTATTTTCAATTATTTTGAGTTATATTAATCATGATTTCATAGGAACATAAATGTTTAGGAAGTAAAACAGATGAAGCAGTTTTTTTACTTTTTAAATTAGCTGTATACTTACGTCTTTCTTGAGGGCGATGTAATTGAATTAGACGTAATGAGCCTCTCATGATCAAATTCAATTTGTAGAGTAGGTCTTCCATTAACTTCATTACTCACAGCAAATTGCCAATATAGAGGCCATAAATATTGAGTTCAAGTGAATATTTCGTGTGCAGAACCAAAGGCGTCATAGCCATTGTACTCCATTCTCTAACACGTTTACATTAACATTTTCATGCGTTAACATTGTGTTTTTATTTTTATTTGGTTGCTTCATATCTGATACTCAATGTTATCATTGAACATGCACAAATCATTTGCACCTAGAATGTAGAGACATGTTTGTAGTTTATAGAATAATCCCCCCTACGTATTGAAAAAAAAATATCAGCATAATCGTCAACGACATTATCACATTTTCCAGTTATTTGCTCTATTTATTAACGGCCTTATTAATTTTTCGTTGACATCCAGTTATAACATTGTGCACGTACAATGATCATTTCATTTATTGTTCAGTGTTTGTAGCTTTAACATTGTTTAAGATTTTATTATTTTCAAATATCTTCTTTTAATTTTGTTATCATTCATTAGAAATTGTATCTTGCAATATTTATATCAATTTTTAAGACAATTATTCTAATATTAAGTTATCGAACGTTAAAAACATGAACAGCGTTTGTTTCGACTACGTACTTTTTATTATAGTTAATACCTATCAACTCTTTTGATGGAACAATAAAATTTTTATTTGTAATCGGAGTGGATTTATTGTCCTGCGCAAATTAATGGCGTTCACGTAATCAGGATTTGAAAAAATTCCGATTCAGATTCTTTGATAGAAAAATTCCGAAACTTTAAAACTTTTTTTGACTTTAGTTTTGCAGTTTTAAATAAATATCACCGCTTAGCGTATAAATAGTTTTACTTTTGAAATAATGAGATCAGTCGACGTTGAGGAATGTCTTTCTTTACTCGCAATATTAATGTTTTCAATATCTTCTTCCTCGTGTTTTATCTTTTCAGGACATTGGAGACCATCGACCTCCACAAAACACGATCTTTAACACTTTGAAGTAGTTGAAATGTGGTGATATTCAACAAGTGACACATTGACTTCAAAAAAGTTGTTCGTTGTTGACCGCGATCTCTTTTCCCTGCAATCTTTCCAGTAGTTGTTAGATTTTCCATTTTTTCCTTCCACATGATGTGACCAAAAAACTTTAACTCCACCTTCGAAGTTTGAGAGGTTCAACTAATTTTGATAATTCTTCTCAAAAACCACATCTCAGCAGCGTTAATCTTTTTTTCATTTCTTTAAAAATTGTCCCGGATTCGGAGCGTAAGTTAGCTCAGGAAAAATGTAACACCCTAACAGTTTTAATTTTGTTAATATTCTGATTTTACTGTTGGTGAGGATGTTTTTCATTTTAGAATATGCATCTTTCGCCATAGCTATCCATCTTTTGATCCATATCACATTTACAATCTGAGGTAATCAGACTTCCGAGATAATTGAAGCTGTTGACTTGTTTCACCTGTTTATCAGTAGTGATATTATAGAGCAGATCGGGGCGGTTTGCTTTTAATGATAACCGAGCACCCTTTCCTTTCACTTTCGAAATCCAGTTTAGATAAAATATTTGCAGTTTTTTCATTGAATCTGCTATAACAGCTGTATCATCAGCATATCTAACATTGTTTATATTCACGCCTCCAATGGATATTCCAGGTAAATCTTTCTCATAATGATCTCACTATAGAGATGGTTTGGAGAGAATACACAGCCTTGCCTAAAACCTTTCTTTATTTTGACAAACTTAGTCATCTGTTACCAACTTTCATCCCAATAGAGGTTTTTGATAACTCTCGTGTCTTTTTCATCAATGTCCAAACTTTCCAATATTTCCATAAGCTCCACGTGTTTCAGGCTATCAAAAGCTTTGATGTAATTGACAAAACATATAAACAAGTCTTTTTTCATTTTCATCGCCGGTTCACTGATCGTTCGTAGCATAAAGAAAGCGTTTCTCGCGCCACAATCCACGACAAAACTACATTGGATATTTGAAATTTCAGATCTGATTTTGCTTCGTGCTCTCAAGAGAAGTTTTGTAAGATGACTGATCAAGCTGATTGTTCGATGTAGCTCACATTCCGTTGCATTAGGTTATTTAGGCAATGCAATAAATATTGACTTTAATAGATCTTCAAGAATTTCGTCGCTGTTATAAATCTCATTCAAAATTGCTTTAACTATTTCAATGCCAAATTCATTATGACATTTAATTTCTTCAACTATCTCATCTGGACCTGTCGCTTTATTTGATTTCATTTTGGAAAGAGCGGCACGAACTTCAGATATAAATATTTTTGGTCCTTCCACGTCTTGGAATCAATTGTCAAAATGTTGTAAACAACCAAAAATAACATGACTAATTTTTCCGTCTGACAGGAAATAAATTTTTAAAACAAGTCAAATCAAAGCTTTATTTAGACTACTTGATATGTCTTTAATCCCATTTCGGACATTCTCGATTTATGATTTCTTCTAAAATTTGTAGAAAGTATTTACTCACATAATTTAAAAATTTATACCATAAATAATTAAGAATCATTATTTGTTAAATTATTAATGTACCTAAGTATTAAACGAAAAAATTGATATAATTTACCACTGGAATTTTCAAAGTTTCAATTTTAAAATAAATCATTTTTAATAATCCTTATATAAGAAAAATTACTTCAAAAATTTTAATCGCAGTAAGCGAAAATCATTCATGGGTCCTTATATTTCAAATGAACACGCTTGTATAGCATTTGTATAGTCTGAAGCAATATTTGTTGCGTTAACGTTTGGATTTCTTGATCATTTTGGTTTTCTACATTCTTCGAATATTTTCCGGTCCAGCTTAAATTTTTATTCAACAGTTCCTCCATTTACCAATTTCACAAAAACATTTTGTTTTTGTTTATCATCCAATGTAATCACATTACTGCCTAGATTGAAGTAATTCATAGTCTCCATTTCTGCCATTTTTGAGGGAAAAAAGATTAAAAAAGGTCTACTATACGCCTTCTAGGCTCAGAGGAATCAACAACGCGCACAAACATGGTATATGAATACATGCTAAACGACGCACCACACACGAATCTTTTTGTCATATTCGAACGCGGTCACTGCACGAACTGCGAAACAACGACAGGCGACCTTACCATGCCATCACGCCGCCTATATAGCGGCATCATGAAATTTAAAAACTGGGTAACTTGCACTACACCGCGACGCAGAAGAAACGAAATCTTTTAATTAATTTCAATTGATTATTATTGTCTTGATTCTACAATTCTATGTTTCCATTACTTATCAAATGTTAGAATCAGACATCTTTGTAAAGCCGATTGTAAAGCTGTTACAGATAAGCTGTTGGTTTATGGAGTTGCGCTGGGCTTTATTGGCGATCGTGCTACATCGAGCGTATTTCCGGGACTAGTAAATGATCCAGTGGTTCTATCTTTATAGGCATTCAAATAAAGGTTAAAACAAGTCTGTGTTCGAAGCAGTTGTGTTCATCTATCAAAAATCGGTGAATTTACTTGAAGAATAATTAACTTGACGATCGTGCAAGTTACAATATTACATTTTAGCATTTTCAAATATAAAATAATCATAGCAGGACAAATATTAACTAATTTGAAATGTTTTTCAAGTATTTTTCATTTCATCAAAAGATAATAGCATTTTTAGCCATGAAAAAAAGCTGAAAGTTGAAAAATATTTCAACCAGGTATACTTTACATAAAAACCGGTACCGCCTTTCTTTTCAATCCTCAAGCTTTGGATTTGCGGCAGCAAAGGTTTGGAATTCACATTACAGTCGGAAAACAATTTTTCAAATGACAGGCCTTCAAGCTTTTGAAATACCGTGCAAGTTACAATAGCAGCGCAGCACTAATTTACACAATTTAACATCTTAGTCAGCTTTTGAATAGGAATAATCTTGTACGCAAATTTATACAAAAAATTAAGACAAATAATCCTTGAAACTTTATGATTACAAAATGACTGACATAAAAATAAATACCTAGTACTATAATTTTGCAAAAAATGTTATAAGTTTGAGCGTTTTAAATAACAAATGGTTTCATTTAACCACAACCTTCTTTTCATAAATGGAGAGAAATAAAAAAGTATGTTGATGACTGAAAAGGGACTGTCGAGACGTTTCCAAAGTCACGTGTTTGCTGTAGAATGACGAGTGCTGCTTTTACAGTCATTCCTACAGATGGGACATGTTCTGTTCATCTGCGTAATAACAATTTTTTATTTAAAGCATGTAAACGCTAAACTTTCTTGAATGTCTAAATTAAAATCACTATTGTTACTTTAATATTGTTTTAAAATTTTAGTCACCAATGAATTCACTTAGGCTATTAATTCCTAATCCATTTCTGACGCGAGAATCAAAATGTTCGCCGAGTTAGCTAAGCCGGTAGAAGTGTCATGTCTCGTGCTGCTGTAACGCGATGTCATGGTTCGAATAATGTCTGTCCGAAATTCAAAGACCATCATACGGATGATTTGAGAATGCGCGTGCATACATAATGTGCGTCGTGTGGTATCGAAAATGTACTTTGTGCTACGAAAATTTAATAACAAATATAGAATCCACGTTTGCGATGTCTATGGTTTACTCGACATCGTATTGTAGATTTTTAGTCTCTAAATTTCAAAATACCCATCATCACCAATAGATAATCGCCCAATACCTATCACCCCCACACTTTCTCGTATTCTAGAAAAAAATTATCGTTAGGTCATTCATCTACCCATGTTTCAACCATCCATCCATCAAACCACTATTACAAGATCAGTTTGCATTTCGCCCTACAGGCTCATCTACATCGGCCATCATCTCTCTTACTTCCATAATAACACCTTTCCTTATAAATAATAATTATGTTCATCTTATTGCTCTCCATTGAGTTCTGTCTACTTGTGCAATAGAGGAGCTTACAGAAGCTCTAAAAGCTATGAAGGATGGAAAGGCAGCAGGGCCCTCGGGACTCACAAATGACATTATCAAAGCATCTGGTACTGCGGGTATCCAAACGTTACTACAACTTTGCCGTGAAATCTGGAGAAATTGCTCAATGCCGACTGAATGGAACTATAGCATGACAGTCCAGCTATACAAAGACAAAGGTGATCCATTGAACTGTTCATCATATCGGGGTATACGTCTGTTAGAACACTCCCTGAAAATTGTCGAGAAAATCATTGAGAGATTAATGTCGTGCATCACATTCGGAAATTATCAATTTGGTTTCCTAGTGGGGAAATTAACAATTGATGCTATTCACATCCTTCGGCAACTGCAAGAGAAGTACCTCGCAAAGCATCAACAACTATCACACATTTTTGTAGACCTTGCAAAAGCATTTGATCGAGTTCCCCGTGAAGCAATCAGATGGAGTCTACGTCGACAACTCATTCCAGAATATCTTGTTCTACTTGTGATGGAAATGTATACAAATACTAAGACTCTTGTCAGCACAACGGTTGTAAACACAGATGCATTTGACATCGGCGTTGGAGTTCACCAAGGCTCGATTCTCAGTCCACTGTTATTTATAACTGTGATGGAAGAAATCACAAAACCGATACGCACTGGTGACATTTGAAATCTAGTATATGCTGATGATATCGTTTTAACAGCCACGTCTGAGCAGAATGCAGCACAGATGTTTAAAGATTGGAACACCAGACTCGCCGATCATGGATTCAAAGTAACATCAGCAAACCAAACCAATGAC